CATAAAAGCCAGGGCTTTGACAAGCCGGGCCTTACAAACCACTAAGGAAGGCTAGTTAAGCCCTGGGAGAGGTGGCCTAAGGAGGGGTGAGATCCCTGTCATTGGAGGTTTTCGGAACAGGTCAAGACAAACACCTGTCAGGGATGGTCTGGGTTTACTTGGTCCTGTCTCAGCCCAGGGATGGACTAGATGACCTCTCAAGGTCCCTTCCAGGCTGATGTGTCTCAGACTAATGGAAGCAGCTGTGCTTCCTGTCTTCCCCACCACTAAATGTCCCCCGTCCTGTAGTAGCTCCATCGCTGACTCTCGGCAGCAGATCCTCTCGCACAGGGCTTGGCAGATCACGGGGAAAGATTTGGTGTGAAGCGATCTATCATGTCTTTGCACATAGAGCCACGTTTGGATTTGGAATCGTTTTAAAGGAGGGGCAGGGGAAAGCTTTTTAATTCCCCTTTGACAATCAGCAACTCGCTCTGGTCATTTCAGATCTTGGGTCCCTAGAATAGCGGGAGGGTCTGTCCCCGTAGCGGGGCATGGCCGGGCTGAGCCATCACCACCAATCTGCTTGGCCGTGTCATTGCCAACGCCTAGGGCCGCTGAAACTGGGGCAAACGGAACATGTCTCCTGAGCCTCTCCCCCTTCTGCTGACTCTATCTGGTAATTAGAGAGACAATGTCTTTTTCAGCGTAGACAGGGAGAATAGAGACATCCGGTGTCGGTTGCAGGCCCTGCCGTGTCGGGGTCGCTAGCCCTGCGGGGGAGGTGGGCTCGGACGGAGAGGAAAACCAGCCCCACCCTGGTTCTAATTTAGGGAATCCCCTGGCTTAGCTCAGGTTGACGGAGTCGCCCTGGAGCCTGGACTCAACCAGGCACCTCCTGGGGGCGAGTCGCAGAACCGCAGGCTGCCTGTGATGGCTTTTCTATAGGGCCCATGGGTGCCGTGTCGGAGCGCCCGCCGAGCGCTGCCCCCGAGCCCACGGGATCGCACTGCCGGGGAGCGAGCCCCGGTTCTTAGCTCCCATTTGCATGTGGAGGGTGAAGTGGGAAATAATTGAATGGCTTTTAAACCTACCCCCCACCCCTTTAACCCTTTGTGTGCAGCATGTATGACACCACGGCTGTCCTGATCGCCATGGTGATCACTGCCAAAGTGGCCATAATTGTCACCATCTTCTGCTTCCAGACCAAGGTAAGGCTCGATGGGCTCCCTGCCCGTCCGGGGCAGCAGGGATGGGGGGAGTCAGGGGATTTCCCCTCCTGAGAGCCCCCGCGGCATAGGCTGGGACAGGGTACAAGGCAGATGCTGCCTCATCCAGAGTGGGGTGCTGGAGCGGAGAGACCCTTCCCCTCAGGGGTCCACGCTGCCTGTGCCCAGCTCTGGGACTGACAGAGCAGGAATTGAACCTGGATCTCGTGTGGCAGCCCAGAGAGATCTGGGTCAGTGACCCTCCGGGCCCAGCGCTTTGGGGTGTCCCCTCCGGCCGGGTGGCCATTCCCAGCGCGGCTCCCACTGGCTGCATCCCAGCTGGGCAACGCATTGCCCTGCGTGCTGCTGATCCTCGCTACCCAGGCTGCCGCACAACATCCGTCCCGTGCCACCCACCCTCGGAGAGGAGCCGATGCAGCCGATCCGCGCTGACATGGGGAGCAGATGGCGCCTCCTGCAGGAGAAGCCCAGTGCAGGGAAGATAAAAAATCTATGGTGTGGGCGGTTTTTTAATTAAAAAAACCCACCATTTTTTAAAATTTAATTTAAATACAGGTTTGGGTTTTTTTAATATAAACCTGTATTTAAAATTAAATTTTAAATTGGCAATTTAAGACCTAAACTTATTCTAATCTATTAAAACCATTTAAATTAAATGCAAAAAAGTAATATTAAGCAGCCCGTTTCCTGCCAAGTTTTAAAGAACGTCACACCACTGAGCTGGTGGACGTCACTGGCTAAGCACCTGGGACTAGAGTTTGTTGAAGGGCTAACCCAGCTTTTGACACCAGTAGCCTCCTCTGCAGGGGTGGACAGATCATTTTCTCCATTTCAGTTTATTCAACTAGTTCGGTTCATTCAAAGTTAAGAAACCAATTGGGGTCAGTGAAAAAGCAGAAAAGTTCATTTTCCTCTTCTAATCTCTGAATAAAAATCAGGTACGAGAGGATGAGATCTACTAGTTCTAAAATCTTGAAGGACACCGTGACTAGAAACAATCAGTTCAGTTCACTAACTACAGGCCGTACTTCCTTTGTTTAATAAATCAGTTAGTTTTGAATGCAAAACATGTTTTGATCAACTTTTTTTTTATGTATCCAGCACTTTTAAGGTAGTTTTATTTAATGACCAAAAAATCGCTGTTTTTCTATATTTGTATTGTTTGAATTTCCATCCAAACAGAGCTTGACGCAAATCACAATTTAATCATCATCTGGTAAAAAGTTAAGCTACCTAACTGCTTCAATAGATGTGTCTCCTCCGGTTAGCAAAGAGAAGCACCAAATTTAGTGTAAAGGTTCTATTTAGTTGCAAGTCTACCTGTTTTAATGGTTGCCAACCAATGAGCAATTGTCTTTAGGACAGTAACGACAATATACAAATGCGAATCACAATTACAATCGATGATTTAAATCAAGGTTTCCCACTTGCTGATATAAATCATGGTTAAAATCGGTGATGGACATGGCTTTGATTTAAGTCAGTCCATCCTGGTGCAGTCGGATGGCTGTGTTCCACTGTTCTCTGTGGGTCTCACAGTAACTTATCTCCCTCCCGTCGGCAGGGGGATTTCACATCGTGTACCGGGCTGTTCTGTGTGCTGGGGATCGTTGTCCTTCTGACATCGATAGTCACTGCCATCGTCCTCTACTACAAATATGTGAGTAATGGCTGCTCCTTGTAACATGGGGACCTGGAGAGACCTATTCAGGGACAGACTAGGACATGATACCAATGCTGCCTTCTGCAGGCCCCATCCATATCTGCAGAACTTAAGCACAATGTTTCCAGCATGGCATATGTGACCTGCCTGAGTATGCAGAGAGCCTGAAGCAATAGCCCTGACAGACGGGTGACCTGTCTCATTTACACAGGGGAGATGTTAATTCTGGAACCTAATGATGGCAAATCGGAATGTCATCAGCAGGGAGATTTCATCCCTGATCACATCAGGTTCTGGGCAGGGGGTGAATGAAGTTACCAAAACTTTGTCTCTCAAGTGGATCCCACTTCAGCATCTTACAGGAAAGCAAATCTCTGTCCCTGAGCCAACTGCACTCAACAACAGCTCGTGCTCAGCCAGGGATTTCGGCGGGTGTTTTGTTGACAGCGGAAGTATTGCCTGGGAGACTCGGTCCACCTTAAAAGGCAGCAGTGGTGCAGACATGGTATTTGGGAAGGGTGGGTGGCTAAAATCAGATCCTGCAGCTATACCTCCTTGAGCTCAAACAAGTGAGACGTGCCTAGCAACTTGCCATCTTTCATGTGCTGAGTAGGATTACGCCTGGTTGATGCTTGGATGGGAGACTTCTCAGAAACCCCCGGCTGCATCTGATGGAAGTGTGGGTGACTCAGTAGAGGGTGCTCTCCCCTCTGCGTTGGTGTTGACCCTACAGCCCCCGAGTTGTGCAAGGGGGCGCTGTGTTGCTGGAGTTGCTCTTTCAGACGATATGCAAACCCAAGAGTCCTGACATCCTGTAGTCTCTAAAAAAAAAAAAAACT